ATACGATTATATATATATAAATCTATATATATTTATATATATATACAGTAAAAAATAATTAAATTGAACAATAATAATAATATCAGAATAACTGTATAACTAATAGCAATTAACATATAAACAATGAAAGAGGCAACAGCCTTGGAAGTAAATTCGGTTTAAAGGTTAAACCCAAAACTAGTGTTGAGCTAGCCAGATAATAGACAATAGCAGTACATTTCAAAACACATCAAAAACAAAACAACAAGAAAACAACAGACGAAAACCAGGAAAGATGGAAAAAAAGAGGGCTATGTGGTTAATAACTGGACAAATTTTAAGGAAAATTATTCATACAAGGATAAGAAATGAGTTTTTAATTTATTAATATAATAATTGAAGGGGGCAGATGAAATTTCTTTAGGAAGTTTGTTAAATAATTTCGATCCACTATACCGGATGTTATGCTGTAGGAGTGTTAGCTTGGACTGGAAGAGATGGATTTCATTGGGGAAGTCCTGGTATTATAAGAATGGATTGAAGAATTATGAATAAAATTGCAATAGAAGTTTGATGGAAGAAGAGAATATATATTTTTATAAACAAAAAGGCATTGCTGAAGTTTATTAATGTCATGAACGGTTAACAAATGAAGATTAGAAAATAATTTGTTAGAATGGGCAAGATGATGTGCTCCGGAAATAAGACAGACGGCCTTTTTTTGATGAAGATGTATTTTATTTAGGTTGGAAGAATAGTTATTAGCCTAGACAATATTGCAATAACTAATATATGGAAGAATAAGAGAGCAATAAATGTTACGAAGAATATGTGATGGTAAAAAAGAAGAGAGACGATAAAGTATGCCTATGTTCTTTGAAATTTTGATTTCGATATCATTTATATAGTATTTATAATTTAGTTGATCATCAATTTCAACACCAAGAAACTTAGTATGTTTGACAATAGGTATTTTTTGGTCACCAATAAGTAGACAGTCATTAATGTTTTCAACTAATTTCGAATGACAAAAACCAAATAACATGAAATTGCATTTACTAACATTAATAGAAAGTTTGTTAGCATTAAAATAATCATGTATTAACAATGATAATAATAATGATAATAATAAAAATCGTAATAATAGTATTAAACAATAATAGTGCATACAGAAGATAGTAAGTAAAGAAAAAAAAAAGTCCCTTTTTTATCAATAATATTAACAATAGAGGCAATAGCAATAAGCAATAGTAATACTATATTTAATTAAGAACTTAATAATTATAAAATGTATAAGCCATTAAATAATTTGTTATCCTGTAAATAAAAGTTTTTATTTTAGATGTAAGTAAAGTTTTTGTTATAAATGTTTTCTCAGTAAGATGTAACTTTGCAACCTCCTCTTCTACTCGTCAATAGATTTGAAATGCTTTACATACTCTGAACCATCATGTTTCTGCACTAGGGCCATAATTTTGCCGTCGATTGACCAAGCTTTCCTGACCAATCGAAGAGCTTTTACCTTCTGTAATAATGTATTTCGAATGCAGACCGCTGGCCATGACAAGCATGACGTAATATTTAGGATGCCGTATTTGGCAATGGGGTGAATGTTATGACGGAATGTCAACCAATCAAACGGTTCTCGTTTTGGTGCCACGAATGTAGAGAGAAGTCGGGAAGTTGGGACATGGTACCGTACGTGCAGGTGTGTGGAATATCGTGGTACATTGTTAATGGAGGAAAAGAAAACACCAACCAAAATGCCAAAAAAGCTGTATTCCAGAGAATTTTTTGTTCTGCGCACAAGATCTAGTGCGTGGAAAAGCTGCAGTCTAGAAAGTATTTGGTTTGCGAACCGACTTAGGTTCATGCGAGGCTCAGTATTTTAAAGACTAGAACATTTATCACCTAGGCCAACGGAAAAGCTGTCATTCTCTCGCAACTGCGACACAAAATTGAAGACAATGTATACCTGGATAAGCTATGGGAGTTGTCGCGGGTACGTTTACGTATTTTTAAAAACAAGTGAATGTCACCAAAAAGAGGAGCAGCCTGTCTGTATTCCAAAGAGCAAAGAGAAATTTGATTAGCGCGGCGAAACATGAATTAACCACCTATAGCTGGTGTAGTGGACGGGACGAGCTGGGCCTATGAGATTCGTCTCTAGATAAAATGATGATGGTACCAACGAGGCCAGAACTAATGTAAAGGTGCGTCAGTCTTTAAATTACTTATTAGAATTCTGTGTTTATCTTTCATTTATTGTTAAAATAAATGATAGTGAATGACAATAAGATAAAATGTAAACCATAAAACTACTTTTTTAGGAGGGCTATAGTTTGTTAAAACAAATGAATTTACCAATACCAGATACCATCTTTTTTAGCAATTTTATAAATACACCTTGAACTTAATTTAAATATCAAATAAACAGCCCCCATCACCCCTTCTGTCTGGCTCTGTTGTGAGTGATTGTGAATGCATTTGTTATTGTACCTGCTTGATAAGTACTTGTACTTATTCTTCAGTTTTCAATCAGTTGATGGAATTTATATTTTCCCAAATATTCACAAAATGTCGCAGCCCTATTTTTATCTAGAGGAGGTAAACTACTTTTAACCATAGCCTATTGGCTAACCTATATTTGATTGCTATTAATAATTCACATTTTCACTATGAGACAGACACACATGGATCTCTGACATTAAATAATTTATCAATACTATAATACATAACTATTTTTAATCATAAAATAATGATAAGGTCTATGTTAAATGTGCTATGGTTATGGAAAGTAGTCATGCCTATATGAAAATTTGGCTAGGACATAGTTGGACAAACTATTTATAATTTTTAAAAAAATGATATATTATTTATAATTATAAAATAATTATATATAATTTATAATTATAAAATGCCATTGTCTTTATTTTACAGGTTTATCTCATACAGTTTTTATCATATACAGTACTGATGTTGCAGAATTGTTGATAATTTTGTGATTAAAATTGATATACTGTTGTTTAGATCTATTTATTAAATTTTTGCAGGAATGGATATTCTGTGAATAGTCCAGCCGGATGATCCCCACTGACTTCCGTCAAGTTATGAAACTTGAGACACTTAGCATCTGATGGAGAAGCACAAATTCCTGTATACCAAACCCAGTGTCATTTCGATATTAATTGTACTGAAATAAACTTATGATAATGAACAATTAAATACAGTATGATCCTTCCTGTATTCTTTTGCATTGACGTTAAATTGACTGGTAATTAATATAGTAAATTGTTTGTTAATTAGTAAAAATATTTTTTTTTCCTGAAGCAGTTGATAATATATATGGTAAAACACTGAAAGATCAACAAATAAAATTTGAAATGTAAAATCACTGTGGTTTGGATCATTTTTTGAGTTTCGTACAATGACAGTTACAATGTATTTTAATCCAAATACATGCAACTAAATTGTTTTCTCATTACCTGCAATGTAGCCTCTTTATTTTTACAAATTAAACAGAATGATTATATTGATTGAAAAATAAATCTGATAGCTATGGAGATCAGAACAATTAAAAAATTGCACATTTTCTCC